CCTCCCTCTCCTCCGCCCTCCGCCCGCCTGCCAGCTACTAGCTCATTGCGCCTCTCCTGCAGTCTGGCTGGCACCGGCTCCTCCTTCACCCCCACCTCCCGCCTCTCCTGCAGTCTGGCTGGTACCGGCTCCTACTCCAGCAGCACCTCCATTCCCATCTCCATTTCGGCTTCGGCCTCGGACCCAGCTCCAGCCCTCTGCCGGGTTGCATCTAGCTTCTTCCTTCTCTGTTCCTGTCTTGCACCAGTTCCTGCTCCGGATTCGTAGCCGGACCCTCAAGCCATGGCTGGTTCCTTCTCCCGTCTGCTGTCCGCCCGTCCGGGGCTCAGGCTCCTGGCTTTGGCCGGAGCTGGGTCTCTAGCGGCTGGGCGCCCGGAACCTGTACGAGCCGCCAGTGAACGACGGAGGCTGTATCCCCCAAGGTATCAGTGCCTGAGGTGCAATCCGGGCAGGTAGTGATGGGAACGAAGGTGCGGGCAGAGATGAGGACCCGGGCAGCCGAGAAGGTCTATAACCACTAAGGCTCTGGAGCTAGGGGGCTGTACAGTTTGGAAATCTCAGTGGGGTGGAGGTGCGAGCCAAAACCATGAAGCAAGAGCATTCCTGGGGACCTCTAACCAGCGTTCCCCGCCCCCAAGACCAGCTCTGGCCTTACAGTTCTAGCTGCACCCACTGCCCAGATCCCTAATTGGAAAACCAGGAACTATCCTATTCTCTAGCCATCCATCTCCTTTCCTGCTGTTCTCCCCATTTCCTGACTTCTTCTCCTTGGTCTTTCCCCTCCCCCATCCCTAATGTTGTGTTTATGAGAGGAAAGAACTGAGCAGGTCTGGGGGAATTGAGTCTGCTAGCCAGAAGCACCTAGAACGGCTGGGAAAGAATAGACCCTGAAAGTCTCTAAAGAGATTACCAAGGCTTAGCCTCCTTCTAATTCTCCATCCACCCATGGAGCAAAGCCAGACATGGCTAATTGGACAGCCCTCAGATGACTGCACTAAGTCTAGGCCCCTGTGCCCTCCCTCCATGGTTACTGGGTACACCCCCTCCCCAGCGCTGAGTACCCAGACCTCCGAAAGCACAACAACTGCATGGCCAGTCACCTGACCCCAGCAGTCTATGCTCGGCTCTGCGACAAGACCACACCCACTGGTTGGACGCTAGATCAGTGTATCCAGACTGGCGTGGACAACCCTGGCCACCCCTTCATCAAGACTGTGGGCATGGTGGCTGGAGATGAGGAGACCTATGAGGTAGGGGGCCCCCATAGTCTGGTGACCCTGGTGACCCAACTCATCTTCCCAGTGATCCTACTCCCTTCCCCGTAAAGACGCCTCACTTCCCCTCAGACTCTGGACCATCCATACTCAAGCTTTCTGGCCCAGTGAAATCAATCCACAGCTGAAATTTGGGGAGAGGTTCACTTTTCTTAACCACTTCTCCTTTTTAACTCCTCTTCAGGTATTTGCTGACCTGTTTGATCCTGTGATCCAAGAAAGACACAATGGATATGACCCCAGGACAATGAAGCATACCACTGACCTGGATGCCAATAAGGTAGGTTGCCTCTTCCACTTCTGGAATGCTTTGCATTGCCTTATGTACAACACTCTGACTGCAGTCCCTTCACCTTCATTATTTCCTGACTCATGCTCTTTATGCTGCTGAGCTTTTAGTCTTGATGTGGAGAGAGAGTCATATCTGGAGTGGCAAATAGGGAGAGGAGAGGATGGATGAAAATGATCATGCCCCAAGGTGGGCATTTTAGGAAAGTGTTAATTATGCCTCTTTAAATTGGAGTGCTTACCTGTAGGGCCCTCCTTCCAATACACATAGGAGAAATACACAAAGAGCCCTCTAATCCCTAAGGTCTCCCTTTCCCCAGGAACCCTTAGTTTCCACCCACTGTGTTTCTGTGGCTTATATTCACTTCCTTTATTCCCCAGATCCGTTCTGGCTATTTTGATGAGAGGTATGTATTGTCCTCAAGAGTCAGAACTGGCCGAAGTATCCGGGGACTCAGTCTGCCTCCAGCCTGCACTCGGGCAGAGCGACGAGAGGTGGAACGTGTGGTGGTGGATGCTTTGAGTGGCCTGAAGGGTGACCTGGCCGGACGTTACTATAGGCTCAGTGACATGACAGAAGCTGAGCAGCAGCAGCTTATTGATGTGAGCGGGCTTGAGGGGGATCTGGGTGGGGGGATTAGATGGAAAAAAGAGCCAGAGGGAAGTCTGGGCCAGATGAGATAGATGGGCTCCGAGAGGCCAGGAGCTACCGTGAGGATTCTTAACTCAAGCCCCCTTACTTCCCCAGGACCATTTTCTATTTGATAAGCCTGTGTCCCCATTGCTGACTGCAGCTGGGATGGCTCGAGACTGGCCAGATGCTCGTGGAATCTGGTAGGAGGCTGCTCCTTGCTCCTTTTGTCTCCATGCCCTCATACTTTTTCCTCCCTATTTCCTCCAATTCTTGCCTTACCTTTTGATCCCTGTCCCTCCCTCTGTCCCGCCCTCAGGCACAACAATGAGAAGAGCTTCTTGATCTGGGTGAATGAGGAAGATCATACCCGGGTCATCTCCATGGAGAAGGGTGGCAACATGAAGAGAGTGTTTGAAAGATTCTGCCGAGGCCTCAAAGAGGTTGGAGAAGAGTGTGTAGGGGA